GGGGGGGGGGAGAGAGACGGAATTGGAGTCAGGCAAATGGTTCGTGGCCCGCGAGCTAGACTCGGACAGTCGCTGGGGAGGCAGCTGAAATGCGCCGCTGGTTGGGCAGGGAGAGGAGGGCGGGGCTGTGGGAGTTTCGCCGCGCGCGAGATCTAACGAGGTGGCGGGAGGCAGATGGCCTCCTTCGGCGGGCGGGGAGGGGGGAGGGAAGCCAGGCGAGTGCATTGAGGGAGATGGCGCCCGGCAATCGGCGCGTGGATGATGATGCCTGCACACTTCGGCCGGCCAGATGCCTCACCCAGGCGGCAGGGGGCGCAGGGCCGGCTAGATTGCCGCGTGTCGGCCCCTCGGCCGCGTCTCCCCGGCTCGAGCCGCGCACCATGTGCACCAGCCCGTGGGAAGGGCCCTCCCACCCGCTCGACCGCCGGGCGTCCCGGTCCCGGAGACTCCGCGAGAGATCTAGACGTGCTTGGTCAAGGGGGCGGTTGAGCACCCCGAGTGCGTGTGCGTGTGTGTGTGTGTGGGCGTGTCGGTGTGAGAGACGGCGTCTCTAGGGCCGATAGATACTATGTATGACCAGGAGACCGCCGGTACGTACGCACCGCCGGGGGGGGGGGGGGGGGGGGGGACCGGCACGACCGGCGAAACCAGGAACCCATATCCACGGCGTCGGCATACATGCGCGCGCGAGCGAGCACCATGCCATGGCCGGCGGTCAACTTAGATTCGCTAGATGCCGTCAGGCCGCCAATATGAAAAGGCAGGTGCCCGGGACGCATGCACCAGCAAGTCAGCGTCGACGACACAGCGCGTCCGAGCCGGGTGGGTACCGGACGCGTGCCAGCCCCCAGTCGCAATGGCACCCGCATCTAATGGTCGCCTCTCGGTGGCCTTTGCTCCTTGTATCTCCCCCCCCCCCCCCCCCCCCCCCCCCCCCCCCCCCCCCCCGCCCCCGCAGCGCCGGGGCACGCGCATGTGCAGCGTGCCTCCTATGCTGCGCCCCTGGTGCTCCTTCGTGCGCCAAGCTGGATGGGGGGGCTGTGATCCCACCGAGAAGGTGGGTCCCGGAATATACGCCCCCCCCCCCTCGCCC